TCAAAGTCTGTCACTCAGATTGGTTTCTTTTTGTTTATCACCTGGGATAAGAATCGCACTATTATTTATAATAAACACCTATACATACTTAAGAAAAGTCATTATCTGTAGGCCTGTCATTTAAGGCCTCTCATTTCCCAACCTTCTCTTTTAGAATGGTCTTTTTATTCTATCTTGCTGATATCAGAAATATTAAAGAGTTAATATTAAAAGAGTTAAAATATTAAATACTTAAAGTCAGAATTGAACCTCCTACCCTAAGTCCCAATGTTTCCTTACTCTCACAGGGAGCGTGACAGAATACACTGTCTACAAACCTTTGATGGTGGGGGGCACACTTTTGGTTGTGCTGAAGGTGTAGGTTTCTGAGAAGGGCCCTTCCCCAGCCTGGCTTGCTGCCTGGATTCTGAAGGAGTAGCAAGTGAATTCTGTCAGTCTCTGGACCTTGTATGTGTGGCTGGGTCCCCTGTAGATTGAAATAAACCTAGAGGAAGGAACAAAATCCGTTAGCCATCTGAACTGTTATCAATGACAAGAAGTTAATTATGATGTAAACTAGTGGAGCAGTTTAGGTCAACTTGGCAGACTGTTTTCAAACAGCTTGAATTAATAATCAACTAGTTGTTATGTTATGATTAAGTTTAATGTCTGACATATGTTGACATAAAAGAAAAACCCAAATTTAAGTACATGTATAGATTGGAATAAGATTCCTTTAATTATGGTCTAGATTCTAAAAACATTGGTTGTTCAAGTTTTTCTTTATTAATAAAAAAAGAATTTTCAAGTTTTTCATAATGTTAATATCTATATAATCTAATAGTGTTAACCTACCTTCTACTATGTACTAGCCAATGAAGTTAATGTTAACTGGGCACCTAAGAAAATGTCTTCTTTACTTGAACTTTCCAGTTAACTAAGGTTTAGCCAGAATTTTTTTTCAATTTTAACCTTTACCTATTCTTCCCAGCATTTTCAAAGCCCTTTCCTAAATGGGTAAGAAGACCTTTAGGATTATGGATCTTTGAGAAAATATGTAAAAGAAAAAAAATATTGTATAAATCATCCATCAAGTTAATAAAAGTAACAGAACAGCAGTGCAGGTAGGCTAGACAGTTTAC